GTAACATTACAAATTAGTCATTAAAAGCAAGTTTTAATTCTTTTAATCATATCATTCAATTTTATTTTATTACATTTTAGTCATTATCAGTTTATATATATATTTAGGGTAAATAACTGATTTAGTACCTTATAATTTTATTAACGTTTATTTTAATCCGATTAATTAAATAAGGCTAAATTACATTTTAGCACTTAAAGTTTTATTTATTCGAGATAGAGCCTTTAAACTTTGATAAATTTTATTTTAATCACTGATTAATTAATTAAGGATTAATTACACTATTAGTAATTTTATTTTATGATGATTCAGGTTATGTTCATAATTTTACATTTATTATTTTATTTATTTTTAATCATTGTTTAGTTATGTTTTAACTTAATTTTTATTATTTTAATATATTTTCAATCATTACTTTAATTATTGTTTTACTATATTATAAATATATACATTATTTATTTAACAATGTTTATTTATTTTCCATATCGAAGAAAAGGACAGTCTTAATACAACTGGATGTTCTATTCTGATATTTTAAAAATTAAAAATTAAACAATATTATTTAAATTCATACTTATCAATATCAAAGAAAAGAACTGTCTTAAGGCACCTAGAAGTTCATTTCGGATATTCTTAAATAAATAAATATTTTTTATAATTTTGAAAGAATAGAATTATAAATTAAATATATTTTTGAATTTTTAAAATTTTAATAATAGAGACAATTGATAATTAAAAAGTACCAATTTTGGGCGTTGTAGGGGTGCTAATCCTTCCCTAAACGTAACCGACCACGAATCCCTTTTTATTACTAAAAAGAACGAATTTTTGGTTATAAACGCAGATCAGTTTATTTTTTTAAATTGATGTTTTATTAAAACTCTTTTAAAAAAAAATAATTTTTAGGTATTCGACCTACCTGACCCAAAAGGCCGATGGCGACTCCTAAATTATTTTCAAAATTATTTATTAACATTAATTTCCCCGCCAAATAAATATTTCGTGCCCGGACGAAAACCGGTTACGACACATTCAATACCTGCAATGAAAACATACTATATAGAACATGTCTTCTACCACTACACAAACAATTGAGGGATTGAAAGTTACTGAAAGTTATTGAAAGCGTATACAGTTGTTGCATCGTATTTGACACTGATGTAGTTGTCAGTGGCAGGGTTCCATTCTTGAACATCCATGCCGTTCACAATGCCGGTGATGCCGGTTTTACGGATGATGGTATCGAGTTCAACACCTTTGTCTTCGCCCGATATAAGCTCCTGGGCATAGTAAGGGCTAACTGTCAAGACCTTATCTGATTCCAGGGTTCCAGCCTTCATCCAATTAATTTTCCTTCCCTTGACAGGTTTGGTATACCCGTCGAAGAAGTCGAACGAACTCTTGAACTGATCAGGCAAATTGAGAAGCTCGAAATCGGAAAACTGAAATCTTCCCTGATAGGATATGTTGTGGACGCAAAATGCAACCTGCCATGTTTATCAAAACAACAATGCAAGTGCTTTAACATGACCAAATTAGCTCTGATTCACTTAAACAAAAGAGGCCATCGACCAAACCTTGGCATTCATGTAGATACCCCTTGACTGGTACATGCTTTTCAAATAACATGGAAGAAGACCTGTGTGCCAATCATTGGCAATAAAGATAACATCTTCCCCTGCAGAAGATGAAGCACGTAAATCTGAGATTTCGCGAAAAATGTGTTAAAAACTTTCAAGTTTAAGACCAAAGAGGAACAGTTCCAACCATATGGTCCTGAAAAATATTTGTTGCTGTTTAAATTCAGAACCCTGGGTGCCTCCAGAGCAGCCTGGCATAACAAGCTAAACCGCAATTGATTGTCTTTGTAGTCCACACCTGCATTAGGGCCATAGATTTTCGATCCAGTTTTCCCCCATACCTGAATCATCATTTTGGTCTAAGGAAACAGAAGAATAAAAGAGAACATGTCAGGAAACAGGGTTAACAGAACAGAATCCAAACCTTCTCGAGGAACAATGGGTGATCAACGAAGATACGATCGACTCCACGTTTGTAACAGTGGAAGAACCGGACGGTCTCAATTTTGTCACCGACTTTTAGCTGCAAGTTAAGAGGTGATTCTTAAGGAATATAATCCAAAGACAGTTCACTTTGATTAAATTCGAACCGAACGGAATCCATAACCTTACATCGCTTACGACACTGGTGTCCCATGCATCCATGTACTGATCATAGCGAGGAGACACTGTCATAACTCGATGTCAATTGGCCTGCTCAATGTTGAATTAATATCTAAAATCATACATGCCGCAAATTATAAATGAGCGTGCAAAGCCCTACTGTACTTACAGCCATTGCTGGAGGAAGTCCACCAAGGACATCACCGAGTCCACCGGTTTTGCTCCATGGACCACACTCGGCTCCCACAAAGACTAAGTTCATCCCTTTACCGCATATAATTTTCCCGGCAACCTCCGTGGGGTTTCCCTCCTTCACGGCTCTCGGGGTAACAGCCTTTGTTTTGCTTCTCATCTGCAACCTGTCCAGCTTGTTCAAAAACCTCAGGCCATTGTGAGAAATGGCGGCTTGATTCTTCATGCAAATCGGATTGTTCTTGGCATCGGCTCTATGGCTGGTGACATGAGCACTTCTTGAAACAAAGTGTGAGGCTGTTTTCACTGTCGCCATTGTTCCGATACTTCAAAGAAGCTGAGACCAGAAGAAGAAGAAAGTAATGAACTGAACAAATCAACCCTCCAAGTCCAAAAGAGAACGCTTGATTCAAAACTCATAGGAAGAACCCAGAATTATAAGTTGTTTATATGGGTGTTAAAACGTAACAATAATCTCGAAAATGACTCGAAAGTCAAAATATTTGGATTGTAGAATGATCAAAGAAGCAGAAACACATGCAACTGGTTCGGTGAATCTCTCAAAATTAGTTAAAAGAAGAAGAAATACCCCATGCAAAGCTAATTCAGAGTCGCTTCAAATTTCACGCCGAGGATCAGCTAATGTGGACTGGTTGCACCACTGACCGTGCAAAAACACGTGGCAGTACGAGAACGGTTGAGCCAGCTTCAACTGTCGAAGCTCAAGTACTAGTTCAACAAAATCAAATTCATATTCAATATTAAAAAAATTCATACTTTATATATATATATATATATATATATCTTTCAATAACGAATTAAATGTCAACACTTTATAATATTTTTATATCTTAAATTACTAGATACAAGAAAAAAAATATTGACAATTAACAACGATTCACCCAAAGAGTCGAGAGTCGTGCATAGTTGTAGTTATCAATACCTTTTTCTTGTAATAAGAAGAGGCAGAATAAAAAAAAATTAACTAACCTTATTTCTATATGTAATGGCGTAATGGGATAAGGGAATGTAGCATAGTAGGTTGCCCCCAACGCCAGGTTGAGAGTAGCTTCCGTGGAAGACCTCCGGCAGTCAGAATTATGAATTGCCCACTGTAGGACTCCATCCCACGACCACAAGATTAAAAGCCTTGCGCTCTACCAACTGAGCTGGACGGGCAATTCAAGAGGCAAAATATTGTTAACAATTATTAAGTACTATTTAAAAAAATTGATTTGATTATACTCTATGTGATATATTAGTATACCTTTATAAATAAGATATATTTTTATAATTAAATACCATTTATTTAAGAGTAGTAATAATATTATTATTTTTGTCAAATAATAGAAAGAAATCAAAACATTTTGATTGATTTAAATATATTGTTTTAATTTTTGAAATATATTTATTAATTAATTTTATCAAATATAGATTTGATTATATGTTGATTTAGTATTTGTAAATTTTAATTCTTTGATTTAGTATGCATACAAAAATTTCTTTAATATATATATATATATATATTATTTTGATATTATGTTTGTATTTATAAATTTATGTTTGATCCATTTTATCTACTAGCTGTCGTGAAGTGCTCACTATACGAATTTATGGTAGGAGATGTAAGATCTTATTGATTAATGAGTTTTTTTGTTTTGCATTATAACTATTATCAATTGAATTATTGAGATTTAATTGACATTGGCTAACGTACTTTTCTGATTTTGATTGTTTTCGTAAAAAACACAAGCTAAAAGCCATATTAGACGGACTGCATGATTATAAAATATGATTATTTACAAGGTCGTATATGGGCCTGGGCAGGTGCCATTATACTTATAAAGAAAATGGTTTTATATCAACTATGGGCCCTAATTATTTTTAATATTTGTTATTAAATGTCTATTTTTTTAATATTATAGGCTCATGTTTTTCTAATATTTATATTATTAGGGTCTACTCTTACAATTTATTTTTTCCTAATATTTGTATAAGTGTCTACTTTTTTATCAATATTATGTTAGCATTTATTATCAAGGGTCCAAATTTTTTAATAATTGTTATCAAGAGTCCAATTTCTTCAATATTTGTTATTAGTGACATACTTTTAAAATTTAGTTTATTTTCTAAAATATATAAAACATAATAATTTAATATTAAATTATTTGTATCTTTAAAGCATTTTCATATTAGATATTGCAAATATGATGTTGGGAGTTAAAAGTTGATGATGATTTGGAAAGAGTGCATTCCAATTCACACAACTCTAGAAATTCAATCTTTGGTCCGTGGAACTTTAAATGTTTTTTTAACAAAATTTGTACATTTTTTAATATTATTTACCCAAATATTCACGGTTTAGCATCAAAAATAGTTATACAAATCACAGAATATCAATAACCCTCGGGTATTGGAAATTATAATTTCACCATCACGGTCGATCACGAAAACGACGGGAAATTACAAAACAAAACAGGGAAAACGGCACTATAATATCCCACGTCATATTCGAATTTATAACAATTTCGGGGGGGAGGGGGGGTTTGCTCGACTTTTCAAACCACAAAAATGATGAAAACGGGGACAAAGCACGGCGTTTTGATGTGTTTCTTATTGGATCTCTTTTATCTGTGGGCTGTGACCAACGTCTCTATGAACTTCAACCCATCAAATCGTGGCGCGAATTTCTCCCTTTCCGACGCCGTACACTTCCTCGACGCTCCGTTCGGTGACTCCTAAACAATCATCGTTCAATGTCAAGATCAAGAACTGGACATTAAAACATGAACTTCTTCAATCGACAAATTTTGTTGATCCAAAATTTGTACTCAATACAATTTAAAAGACCGATCTGGATTCAGAAAGCAAGATACTGAAACTAATAGAATTAAGCAGTCAAAATCTCACAGCAAAGTAAATAAAATGAGAGAAAAAGCATTCATCAGACATTGGAAAGGGAAGAATCAGTAAACCGATACGAAGAAAAGAGAGGAAGCATTGGGAGAAAAAGGTAAAAAAAAAAACCTTGTTGGAGGATATCGGAGAAAAAGAAACATGTGGGACTCCAGTGGACGAAGATGAGGTGAGAGTCACCGTGGAAGCAGCGATCACAGTCGCAACAAGAGGTCCAGATCCCTTCATTTTCCCGAATCCTTTCTATTTCAGCGAACAAAACCCAGATCGAGAGTGATTACTTGCGATGCTCCGATGAGAAATGTGTGAAATCCAACGAACTTCGCCGGGTCCAGACCGCCCATTGCCCTCCTTTCTCTTTTCTTCCCTTAAAGATGGAGCCCTATATTTTGAAAATACCGGCGGTTGTTGTTTGAAAGTATGGAGACTTAAGACTAGGATAGTCGAGTAGTGTGGGTCACATCTCTAGGGTGTATCATCTCTGTCTTCTTTTAATGCCTTTGTAGTAATTTACATAACTTCTACTTTTTATCCGTTTCTGTTATTGGTATTTATGAAGGCTTAGAACTGGCCTTGCTATCGTTTGACTTCTGTGTATCTATCTCTCCACTTTTAAATTTAGTCGGTTCTAATGTTTCTGTCTATATACAAAGATTATTGCCCATTACAGACGCGCATATGATATTAATGATATTAATGACTGCATATGAATACTGTACAACTATGTATTTATGTATTTATTTATACATGCACTGTATTTTATCTATATTTTTAATTTTCTGACTGCCGGAGGTCTTCCACGGAAGCTACTCTCAACCTGGCGTTGGGGGCAGCCTACTACCCTACCTCCCTCTTACCCTATTGCATATGGGAATTAGGTTTTGTTATTGTTGTTGTTGTTATCCGTGTGCTGCCGTCGCTTGTTCAATTCTGATTTTAAAATTGATCCAAATAAAATAAAATTATTTGTGAAAACTTACTATACGTGCATGATGAGTTTTTTATATAATGTAACATTGGTCTTATATCTCAAATTAATTTTCGAGATGATCGAATTGATTAGTTTTTAAGTTGTTTCTCATAATTATTTTAATTAATAATATATTGTTTATTATTTAAATTTAATATTTTTAAAATTAATTTTTTATTTATATTTTATACGCAATACTTAATAATAATATTTGACAAATTTATTAGAATAATATAGTGGAAATATATTTGTTTATAAGGGTATTGTAGATTTTTTTTTAAAATTCGGTGAAAGTTACTGTATCAATCGAAAATCGTGTAGATTAATTGACATTTTTGAAAAAAATAAAGAAAGCGTAACGTTTTTCGATGAAATACACACGAAAGATACCATCCATTAACGGTGCCAACTAGCTCTCACACCTTCTGCTCCAACAACGACAAGTAAATTCACCTTCATCCAGCTCAAAGACATCAACGATATCACCATTTTTGCATCGGAAGTTAAGAAAACATCTTTCATGTATCTTTATTAAGACGCCAGATTGATCATGCGTCTTCCCCAAGTCCAACTCATTACAAAACCCATCTTGTTTGAGAAAATAAAGCACTAGGTCTGTAAATGAACTGAACGTTCAGCGAACCGTTCGTGAACCGTGCGGCGGGAAGTTCATTTATGTGCGTTTATTTATTAAATGAACGAACATGAACAATATTTTTTGTTCGTTTAATTAAATGAACGAACATGAACATAGGTCTCGTTCGTTCATTTACGTTCGTGAACGTTCGATTATGTTCGTTCGGTTATGTTTGTTTATGTTCGTTCGATTATGTTCGTTTATGTTCATTCATTTATGTTTAACTCAATCTTCTTAAATCAATTTTGGTGACCAATTTGTAAGTACCTTAAAAATATTAATTAATCTGATATTCTGATGACCAACTCCATAATTAACCCAATTTTATTTGGAGATTAAATCCAATATGTTAACCTTTGAGGCACATCGCACCTATATTCATTTCCCCCTTTTTCCCCAAACCCTAGTGTTCACTAGAGAGTGGAGACGATCGCTGAAAGCTTCAAAACAAGTTATATTATAGTGCAATATGAAGTTTTACAGGTCTGTTTCCCATCTCTTTCTCTGTTTTATTTGACTTCATAGTTGATATGTAAAGTTATTGCAGGTATCTTCACATCTAAAACTCAAAAAAACATCATACTTCTTTCTAGAAATAGATGGGAAGATAAATGTAACAATCGAAAGTATATGAGCATCAATAAAGAGAAAAAATATATAGAATTTGCCAGAAAACAAAACAAAGATTTCTATGCAATTTTTGAAAAAAGTATAATAGCGAAAAATGATTGTTCATATGTAATCATGGACCACTAAGATAAATGTTATAGCGTTAAATTAAAGTTGTGTGAATAATTTAATATCTTTAAAAGATCGATCAAAATATTTGATATCTTCAAACATTTCATCACTGCTAATAAACTCTTACGCTATTTATCACTGTAGATTTGGTTATTTGCATTGTCGACTATTTTTCATGAAAGAACAATGGAAGGTAGGGTCTCCAACGTTTATGTTCGTTTATGTTCGTGTTCATTTATGTTCGTGTTCGTTTATGTTCGTGTTCGTTTATTTATTAAATGAACGAACATGAACATATTATATTCTTTAATAAACGAACATGAACAAAAAAAAATTTGTTCGTTTATGTTCGTGTTCGTTTATGTTCGTCTATTTATTAAATGAACGAACATGAACATACCTCCGTTCGTGTGCGTTCGGTTCGTTTACAGGCCTATAAAGCACTGCCTTTAAATCCCCAACAACTGAGCCACGTTGATTCGGCTTGGAATTCGGGACCCATTGATATGCTGCCGTGTATGGACTTCGAATTTTCTTTTAAAAATATTCAATGCATAGATGCCAGACCTTTCGCTATCTCTTGGAGCAATTGATGAAATACGTAAATATCAAGGATTAAGTGTGTTATTATACCGACTGAAATCGAAAGTTATCATGTCAACTATTATGAGAACTTTAAAAAATGAATGGCTTCTTAGTTAATGAAATTAAGACCATGGAACGTGGTGGATATCTACACAAACAATCTGAAATATGTTTTTTAAAAAGATTCCTAAAAAGAGACTTTTCAAATAACTTTCAAAATTAAGTTCGAGTCATGCTTAATAATTTTAAGCTCGCGAGTTTTTTAGTCGAATCGAGTTTAACGATATTCGGGTCGACTCATCTCATTTACAACCCTAATCAAGATGCAACCATGCGTGAACTATGAACAATCTGCGGCATATACCGTCTTCTAACAACCCTTTAGATTGATCAACAAGCTTTCACTCTCTGCTCATGTCAAACATCGTTAAGCTACTACATCAAAACTTCAAAAGTAACACTTCCTCGGTTCCTCTGCTTCGACGAACAACCCGATATTGGACCCAACTAGACTACAGTAAGTAGAACATTGTTGCAAAAATCGGGGCAAACGGTGTTTGTTTGATGCACAGCATAGATGTAACATTCACAAGAATATTACTACTAACCAGGTTAGGTAATAGGGTTTCAGAAGCTTGTATGCCAGATTGCTTCATCGATGACTAATATTATTTGATTGATGCAATAACTTTTCAACATGAAAAAACAATGACTAATATTTTGGGTTTTATCTTAACAAGCAATCAACAAAGAATAAAATTTATAACTAACTTTAATTTTTGGTCAAATTTTATTATTAGTCATCGAACTATGTATAAATGATAGATTTAGTTCAAGTGTTGTTCCATTTATTCATATGGCCACAGGGTCTAAAGCATTCAGCGAAGGACTTTATCACTTGAACCAGATTGCATTTCATTATATGAGACGTGCAAGTTCATTGCCCAGAACCAGAAAGAATCGATAACAATTTATTCATAAATCATTACTTCATACATATCATATCGAAATTCTCCGATCTCACATGTTTTTGTAGAACTCTATGACCGAAAAACCGAAGATGCAACATGCCACTCGAAACCGAGAAAAGCCTGCTTCCTTTGCCAAGCTCTCGTATTCCCTTTCTGTCCTGTCCTTTGCGCCTTCATTCATGCTCAATGTGTACACATCGAACTGATACGCGCTTTTATACGAGACATTGGCGTCGGGGACTTCGGGGATCACCATCTGCACTGCGATCACTTTCCCGCTTGCCGGTAATGCTTCGTAGCAATTCTTGAGTAACTCCACCAATCGCTTGTCGTCAAAGTGCTGGAGTAGCCACTGCATTTTTGTTCCATTCAAAGAACTGGTGTTAGTCATTAGTCAATACTTCCTTGGACAGATAAAGAGATTGTATCAAGGCCTAACCTTGGTGAAAATGGCGTCACCTTTCGGTACGGTCTCGAAAGCATCTCCGGCCACATTCTCAACTCCTACAACACAAACATATAGAAAACAAATTAACAACTAGACAATTTTAGCAGATGACACATCGATAGTGGTGAGCTTGTATGAAGATCATACCAGGGTAGGAAGGTGACTTGTCAATTATACGTGGCAGATCAAAGTTAATACCCTTGATGGAAGGGTACTTGGAAACAATACTGTGGAGAATAAAACCGTTGCCGCCGCCTACATCGACCAACGAATTCAAGCCGTCGAAGCCCCGGTAGCTTTCCAACATTTCTTTGACGAACAACTTGTTGTAATTGATCATAGCGACGTTGAAGACGTCTTCGAACCTCGAATCGTTGCGGAGATACTCGTTGATCTTCATTCCATGTGTCTTTGTAAATGGATTCTCTCCCGGTAGGACTGCATCTTTCAGCTGGTACCAGGAATGTAGGGTGACCTTGTCCTGATATAAGTCTAACAGGGGAGACAAAGAACCTCCACTTGGGCTTCTGATGAAGTATTTGGCAACAGGTGCCAAACCATAAAGCCTGTCAATTTGGCCACCATTTTGGTCGGTTACAATGGAGAAAGTGAGGATGGAGTGGCTAGCTAAAAGCCGAAGGATTCGGTCAAGGCTCGTTGGAGCTTTCGGATTACTCTGAGACGGAAGTTGGGAAGCAATCTGGGAAGAAGACAGCAGCGCACCAGGTCCAGCACTCTGTATGATCTCGAACACACCGAGTTCAATAGCTGCTTTCAACGCCATGGGCACCACCGAGGAGCTAATCAGTTGCATGGCGTGATGCTGGGCTTCTTTGTCTTCTTCATAGGGCCAGGTTCTTGATTGTTGGTCTTCTTTAAAACTCATGGTGTCGTTCATGTCGTGAATTTTGAATGTCTTCTCTAAGACACCGAGTTTAAATATTTACCTCACAGGCGAAGATTCAACATTGGCTGTTTTGATTCGTATAACTTAGCCATTTAAGATCAATATCAACCGGTAAGAAATGATGAAATTTCAATGTCAACTTGGCAATTCAAAGCCACGTTCTGGGTGGCTGCTAAACTGTTCTTAAGGAGTTTGACCTGTACGGCTTTTTTCTTGGTAATTCGTCTAGACAGTCTCCAATAATGACTTGTCGCCAATAAATCTTCAAATTTATTGATTTTTTAATTAATAAATGTTTGACTTTCACATTATTTTATGAAATTTTATTTTTACAATTTATTTTATATTCTAAATGTTAATAGGATAAATTAGGATTGTAAGTGAGACAAAACATATCACAAACTACTCGAGTTCAACTCGACAAAACTCGGTCAACACTCAAATTGAAGAAATTCGATTCAAGTTCGAACTCAACTCAAATTCTTACTAAGTCAAAACGAGCTACTTGACACTCAACTTGAAAAGTTCGCGAGTAACTTATAAGATTAAAAAATATTGCTTCATTGAGTCCTTTTACAATTTAAAGTTACAAAATGGTCCTCCGACTATAGGGAGTTGCTTTGTTGAGTCTCTCGACTATTAAAAGTTACAAAATGATTACTCGATTGTTCATTATGTTCCAAACTTGTCATTTTCTATTAAAAAATTAACAGCCGTCTAAGTTGGATGTTAACATGCTAACTAAGATATGATAGTCGTTTGAGATTGTGAGATAAGAATTTATCATATCTCAATCAACAAATTAACGTCTAACTCGGATTGTCGTTAATTTTTAAATAGAAAATGACGAGTTTGAAACATAATGAATAGTCGACTGACCATAGTCTAACTCCCTATATTCAGATGACTATTTTATAACTTTTAATAGTTAAATGACTCAACAAAGTAATATCCTATAATCAAGAGACCATTTGTGTACTTTAATATTTATATGTTTTTTAAAACAAAATATAAGGTTTTAACATACTTAAGACTCATGTTCGAGCTTATACAAATTTCAATTGAACCAAGTGAGAATGTTTCAAATACCCTTTTTTTCAAGCTTGAATTGAGCTTCAATTTTTTATTTCATGTTTGAATATTGACAATTTTAAGCTCACAAGCTTTCGAGTCGATTCAAGCTCAACTTCAAACTTTTCAGGTCGAGTTGACCTCAACAATACTCGAGCTTGTTGGTAATAAGTCCCTTGATATATTGATCTTTAATCTATCAACGAGCGAAAACAAGAGATGACATGGAAGATGAACAATCAAGGAACATATAGCAAGTAAAGAGTATTAACCGTGTAAAATCCCATAGGTCTATGGTTTTGCAGGATTGACAAGTACAAATTCAGAAATTTATGCCAAGTTACAATTTCCCAATTCAAATTCAGAAAATATGATAGCAACTGCAAATCCAACTCATCTTTGAATTTGAGATCATGTCCAAACTTTTGCACTATCATATTCTTCAAAAACAATATTTCGGTTTAAGAAACTCAACGGGAATTGAGAAGAGCCCTGCCGACAATACCGGTGGCCTCGATGTAGCGATCCACACATCTAGAGATGCAACTGCTTTCACTTCCACTCAGACTTGATCCTGGCTTTGTGATACACTTTTCAAAGCACTTGCCCCTCACAGTCTGTATGACAAATAAAAAACACATTAAGTTGAGAATTCTTCGTGTTTAGCCACAAATAATGCTGTAGAAAGCATGAACAATATCATCTGATAATGCAATAAGATAACAGACACCCCACTCTCATATGAAGAAACTAAAGAACTTGAATCGGACAAAAATATCTAAGCAGACGAATAAATATACAGAATATGCTATGAACTAGCAAAATCTTCTTCGAATCATGTTAATCAGCGACAAATTAGGCCCACAAACTTCTACAAAGTATGTTTTTGTAAACAGACAATGTTTAAGAACAATAACCATGGCATGGGTTATATACACATCACAGAAAAGCTCTTGCAGTTGTAGCATCATTAATTACAAAATCCTCCTGAACTAAAAAATGTATACATGCCAAGTCCAATGAGTCAATGGGGTTAAGCCACTTGATGAAATATGATGATTGTGGCTGCTTTTCTGGGTTTTGATGCCATCTAAACATTACATTCTCATCTAAAAAGGCTTGAAATTTCAAAATCTTTACTGATTGCATAAAGATGTGAAAACCCCAGAAAACATGATTGATAAAAAGGAAAGAGAGGGCAACCTCGAGGAACTCTTGGGCATAAGCCTGAGCAAGTTGAACCTTCATCTGGTCCATGAATTCATCTGTTGAAATTTGGGGAGATCCTGAGCCGCTTGAACCTGTTGAAAAGGAATCCATTTCTCTCCCCCTCTTTATCCTTCTTGTCTAATTGTCTCGCTTTCCCTTTCTCACCCTTCAACCCAGGAAAATGCACTAAACCCTAACCATATAATAGAAGAGGTGACGCTAAACCCCGAGACTTTGCCATCAGAGGATTGGGTTCATCATCCCAGGCCGATATTCATTTCACTTGCATTGAAACGAGGTTTTTTTTGGCCCAATACCCCATGCGGGTCCATTATTTAAGGTATTGAGCTAACATGAAAATTATTTTGGAAATTACGATACTCTCTATAGTTCACAACGAACTCGTCACCAATATATTTTTTTAATAGGTGGATTTCATTGAGCCATTAAATTATTAATTTTATTGGAACTCATCACGTCGAAGTGACGAGTTTATTAAAAAATATTTTATGTAAAAAAAATATTTATAAAATTAAAAAGGGGAGACTCGTCACCTCGATGTGACGAGTCTCTTTGAATTAAATAAATAATCGTTTCAAACTGTCTGTCAATGGTCAAATTCAACGGTCACATGGAACTCGTCACCTCAAGGTAACGAGTTGCACCGTCTAAAAAAATTCTAGCAGTTGAAATTTGGATATAAATAGAGGTTTGAGGTTTTGATTTCTCATCAAACCTTCAATTCGAAAAGCATTGAGAAAATTCAACTTTCTGTGCAAAATCCCAAAAAATGGCTTCCCGAGTATAGATGGTGCACCTCGACAACGTCCATATTTCATCTATCGAAGTGCCACCGGAAGAAAATGGAGTATTTGTAAGCGCGAGATGACTTCGAAAGATTCGCATAAATGGATGTATATCTTCAACAATCCAGTTTTATACAGTCATATTTCTACGTGACTTTAAGGTGTACCCGCGTTGATCGAGGCTCTAATCAAACGTTGGTGGCTCGAGAGACACACTTTCCATTTCCCGAGTGGTGAAGCAGAACATGTACGACCCATTAGCATTGGTGGATCAAGTTTTGAGAAAATGGTCGCCATCAAATGTCATAGAGGGCTATCAGGTAAGAATAATGTGGTTGGAGTCCAAATTCGAAGTAACGAGGGACTCTACCGAGAACGAGGGACTCTACCGAGAACGAGGTTATTTTTACGTCCCAAGAATATATTCTCCAACTTATCAAAGGGATATTATTACCGGATAAATCTGGTAATTTGACGCACACACAATATTTACAAATATTAGATGATTTTGGAAAGTGTGGCAGAACCAGTTGGGACTCGGCGATTTTATCATTTCTATAACAGGAACTTTGCAAGGCATATATAGTCGGGTATGGTCGAAAAGTCGACGTAGCATGTTGTCTGATACTGCTACAGTCATCGGCATGGTATCGGTTCCCCTTTTTTACGCCGATTAAAACAGCCCACTCGAGTTTCCTTTTGTCGAAAGATAAATTTCTAACATTATATTTTAATTTTATAAAGTTAATTAATTTTTTTACTCTAGTTTTTTTTTTTTAATATTTTAGATGACACCATAAAATAACTGATACGAAGTTGTTGGGTGCCACAGTAAATGATGTACGGATGAGGATCGACATCGCTGGTCGACATGCGATATACAATTTTTCTTTTATTATTTTTTAAATTTTTTTAAACTTTATATATATTAATTTTGATATTTATTATTTATAATTTTCTTTCCTTCCGTATATTGATGATGAGATCCACCGGTTATTGTCGCGTGATTGTTTTGAGGGGTCTGAGTTATGGTGTGCCGTGACGCCGTTACTAAATGGTGTACGGATGAGGATCGACATCGCCGGTCGAAATGCGATATACAATTTTTCTTTTATTATTTTTTTTAAAATTTTTTAAACTTTATATATATTAACTTTGATATTTATTATTTATAATTTTCTTTCCTTCCGTATATTGATGATGAGATCCATCGGTTATTGTCGCGGGATTGTTTTGAGGGTCTGAGTTATGGTGTGTCGTGACGCCGTTACTATATTTTGCAATTGTGGAGTGGTACGCTGTTACTATATTTTGCAATTGTGGAGTGGTACGTCGTTAATAGAGTGTTGCGACAGTTTGCACCGCATTAGTCGATTCTTATGGATATCGTTGAAATAGATGCACATCATAGAATCGATGTGAGTGGGAAACATTCGGGAGATTGGCCGACGAGGTACGCTACCTACATCAAGCATTGGAATCAACGCCACATATTGCTTCTACCGCTTTACAAGATTACACCGTTGGACCTTGATTTTGACCATTCTCCCTATCTCATAAATTACAAAGCAAATGGAAAACCATCTCATGACAACAGAACAGATAGAAGAATGGGAACAACATTAGGCCAGATATCTCAAGTCTAAGTCCAAGAAGAAATCATTGACGTCTTCATCTTTTTCTGCATCTGTCATTGAAGATTACTACCATGCATCTCGAGCTAGTTTCGATTTTCATACCTCATATCATACTCCAAACGCGACTCAGTCGACTTGGGTTGGACATTAATGGGATGCAATCCAACACACATCTATGGTACACGAAGATGCGAGTCAGGGTGAATGGGATAACTTCACATATAGTCAACGAAGTCATTAAGTCGAATCAATAACGACTATGATAGCATCAAACTCCATAACCCATCCCAGTATTTCGAAGGTGCGTCTGAGAGTGTGATGAGTACACCTCAATTTTTTCAGCAACCAACCCAAGATGGAATCGATGAAGACGACGAATATGACAATCAAGGTAGACGACCCTGGCGTACTCGACGAGCCCAGCGACGTTATCATTCGATAACTCTTTGGCATCGACAAGAACTAAGGAAATATAAATAAATTTTATTAGATTGTAAATAATTTTTTACTTTGTAAACAATTTTATCTTAATAAAAATTTTAATTTTTTTTCTTAATTATTTTTTTACCGGTAGAATTCATCACCTTGAAGTGACGAGTTTCATATGATTGTTGTATTTGACTGTTGACAAACGGCTTGAAACGACTTTTTCTTTTAATTCAAAGGAACTCATCACCTCAAGAAGTGACGAGTTCCATATGACTATTGTATTTTACCGTTGAGTTTGACCGTTGATAAACTACTTGAAACGATTGTTTTTTTAATTCAAAGAAACTCGTCACCAGGTGACGAGTCCTCCTCTTTTTTAAAAAAAAAATTTTGAATTAAAATTTTTAAACAAAAAATATTTCTTTAATGGACTCGTCATCTTGACGTGACGAGCCCAATAAAACCAATAATTTAATGGTCTACGTGGAATACACCTTTAAAAAATTATATTTAATGGAACTAGTTACCTCGAGATGACGAGTTCGCTGTGATCTGTAGAGAATGTTGTAGTTCCCAAAATAATTTTTATGTTGACCCAATACCTACATAATTGACCCGCCTAGGGTACTGGGCTAAAAGAACCTTGAAACGAAGGCTCATACATCTTAATGGGCTCATACATTTATGCTCCAGTTAAATTGGGTTTTAGGTAAACTTCCTTAATGACACCAAAGAAGAAAAATGTGCATAAATGACAAATGGGTGTACTAACTCTACAAGACTAAATGAAAGCCATACTTAAGAGGTGGGCTCTTTTATGGTAGTTTTCAAGCTAAAGTGCTTTCTATTTTTGTTATGAAATTACCATACAATTAATTACTAGTTAGATTAACGGGATGAGAGCTTAGGCTCTTTAAATAAAATTATGAATTTAAATTTTAACGTTGTAAATGAAAAAGTCAAAAGAATTATCTTTATAATTAGTTGATCAATGAATCAGATATCAATAAATATGATAACATGACATGACAAATTTTGATCAACCCGACATTAACAACAAAATTCAATCATGACTTGAGTCGAGTTTAAAAATTAAAGTAATTTTTAATACCATAATTCTTACGAGTTTCATCACCAATTTAATAATGCATTAGATACCATAATAACTTACACGCTAATAATGTGCATAAGTGACGGTAATGGTAATAGTAATACATGCACCTATCTGTCTTGAGGGTGAGGGTCTTATCATGTCGTAATCTCGAAAAGAAAAAGCCTTCCATATATCAACACGATCCACCCTGGCCCCAATACAATCCCTTTTACCCAATCATTATCAGATCAGGAGAAACCCCCAGCTCCGTTTTCTTACACGTCGCTTTACAGCTCCATCCCCATTGAGATAAGCCGACAACGGCAGCACGAAACAAGACATATAGCGGCCGCCAACTGACGGTAGGGAGGGCTCAATTGGTGGTCCTGCCCTGCCGGGCTATATCTAGGGACCCCTATAACACAAAACATATGTGGACCATGATGTGTGTATCTACTACCCAATCGACTGTCTTCTATTGTTACCGGTTTTCTCTCTCCCGCCAGATGATTTAAATTCCTTTCACCAGTACCCTATGAGATGTTAAATTAAGCAGCAGTCCATAATGAAACCATATCTATTACAAACATATATACATTGCAGAGGCTGTTGTATGGTCCAAACTCAGTAGGCTCTTGCTTCCACATTCTTCATTTCTCTGCATCAAGCTATTATATGGTCCGAACCCAGTAGGTGTTGCTATAACATCTACCGTCTTAAGGATTCTTTTATTTTATATATACACACACACACATTATATTCCTATTATCTCAGCGTCTCAAAATCATTCAAAATCATTGGAGAGAAGATTCTCGAATAATTTAATAATATATTCAGAAATATATTTTAGGGTAGACACATATATTAGTACTGTAAACTTTTTTATACGAGATGAACACAAAAATATTTTCAGGGTGGATATAATTAAAAAATATGATCCTTTTAGTTTTTTTAAATAATAATTTTATTATTAAAGAATAAAAAAATTTAAAAATATTATGATAGATACCTAAAAATACAACAGAGAAAACGTTAGACACCTAAAATGTAACAGTGAGCTCTCGAGAGACAGTGCTGCACGCCACGGATGGCTAATGAACGGCGGCGGCGAGGGAAGTCACGACGTAGGGGGTGGGAATTTGATTTTTTTTATTATTTATTTATTTATTAAAATATTATTTTTACTATCAAAGATTCAAAAAATTAAAAAATATAACGGATGGTATATAAAAGTATATCGGAGAAGACGTTACACTTTTTTTAACAAAAAAAAATCTTTAGGCATCAAAAGTAAATTTAGAGTATACTTTAAGAACTTAAAAGTGTATTAGGTTTTTTTTAAAGATAAAAGTGAGTCAAGTTAATTTTATATTTAGAGTGGAAAATATATAGTTTTATTAAAAAATAATAGTATAATTGATATTTAGATATTTAGATATAATTGATATAATATCATCATATCTATATTTTCCAATTAGATCATTATTTTACTCAATATATGTTATCGTAAAGATTAGGTCGAAATTCGAATTAGGTCTAAACTCATATCAGATAGATAATGGATGAAAAAAATGTTATACTTGAATTGAGTTTGGATGAGCTAAAATTTTAATTTGATCTTATCTATTATCATATGCAAATATAAAACAAATATTGGTTTTAATTTTTAAAAATAGAAATAGAATTAATTATGGTAAAATCATATGAAGCTCGTGCTCTCGAAAACAGCTGGCTTTATAGAGTTATATATCCCATCCCACAAGAACATATAGATTAATATACTATTCAACCAACAACTGGTTGGTCTAGTAAGATGAAGTACTAGGTCTCTTAAGTAAGATCGGAGGTTCGAATCTTGACGTTTGCAAATAGAGCAAATTGGGTTGAATCGACCTCGTTTCTACAGTACCGAATATAGATTAATCAGTCAATAAATCAAATATCAGTGATTAATTAAAAATATATATGCATACCACCCAGGATTATGACAGTGACAAGCTCACATGAACCTAACCAAATACTACATGGGGTCCCTCATCTCTCAACTAAATAATATAATAAATACATGGAGGGAACTGAAGGATTCAATTTTAATCTTTTATATTATTGATGTATGTTAATTATGTCTTACATTAATAAATTTTCATTTAAATATCATATATAGTGTAATAATATAATGTAATATTAATATTAAATTTAAATAAATAATAATTTAACTTTAGAATATAGAGGTGATTATAAATAAATAGAGAAAACAAAAATAAAAATCAATAAATCTTTTAATTTTATTCTAAATAATGATTATAGGATACGTGATTTAATTATTATTATGTCACATCATATTATTACATACACATTAGTGTTATAATAATTTAACCATATTTTAACAATTTTATTATTTAGAAAAAAGAAAGGTGAAAAGGAGGTATTACTGCAGTTCCTAACATGTGAAGGTTCGAGGGAGGCGCAGCCTTTGGAAAATACAATAACAGCGCCAAGTAAACCTATTTTCGTCTCTTTCACTCTCTTCTTCCAAGGTCGACAAGTAGCCGAGCTTGCAATGTATCTGTGTTCAGATGTCTCTAGCCTTCAACCCTAGCAAAGAATGGCACAGTTTCTGGAGTTGTTTGTTTGTTTGTTTTTTCAACCTCAAATATCCGCAAATTTGTCCACATTTTTTCTTTCTTTCTTGTTAGGTTTCTTCTGTTGATTTTTCCTCCTCCTCCTCACCTTCAATGTCTATCCCTAGAAAACAAGTCACGGTGCCGTGTAAGCCATGGATCTAGAGTCATCTGACAGACAAGTACTGTTGGAAGAAAAACAGACGGGTAATAAAGATAAGCCTCCTTTTTCACACCCTTCGTCTTCTACTTATACTACATCTTCTCCCAAGTACAAAACTCAGCTGCCGACTCTAATTGGAAACTCAGAAGATAATTCTGCACCAATGGACTCAGATTCAACGCTTGAGCTTAGGACCAGTTCAAGTGACAACATCGATAAAGAACACATGTTCGACAAAGTAGTCACTCCAAGCGACGTGGGGAAACTCAATCGGCTTGTTATCCCAAAACAACACGCTGAGAAGTATTTCCCGTTTGATTATTCAACGAACGAGAAAGGTTTAGTTTTGAATTTCGAGGACAGAAATGGGAAGCCGTGGAGATTCAGGTACTCTTATTGGAATAGTAGTCAAAGCTATGTTATAACCAAAGGGTGGAGCCGTTTTGTCAAGGACAAGAAACTAGATGCCGGCGATATAGTTTCTTTCCAGAGAGGAGTCGGTGAGTTGTGTAAAGATCGTCTTTTTATTGATTGGAGGCGGAGACCTGATGCAGCTGAGACGCAGGTTTCTTTCCTTCACCATCATCAGCAACACCAATTCCCCTTGCGCCGCTCGATCCCATGGAGTCCATTGCTAATGCGAGGGCCACCACCAGGAAGAGAAGATCACTTGCACTTGTCACAGATACACCCTCTTAACCAACATGGCTACCACGGAGGTTTTGTAGAGCCGGTTGATTTTGAATCGGTGCCTATGGTCCAAGGCAAGGCAGCAGCCAAGAGGTTAAGGCTTTTCGGGGTGAACATTGATTGCCCCATAGAAAACTCTAAAATGGTATCGCAGCCTCTTCAACGCTCTTCATCGTCTCATCATCCTCTCCAATTAAGGCTCTACAATGGCACCCCACTGTCCGCCAACGAAGGGAAGGTTTCCATGTCCTTGGACTTAGATATCTGACCACAACATATAGATTTGCCATAAAGTTTCTTCAACACCAACAACTTAAATTGAGATTACAGTCTCGTTTCGTTTATCGTGATGGCAGACATAACAAATGTTATTTCGATCATTATGGTTATTGCAGTCCTGGATTTCTTTTACCTGTCTCATGTAATCCAACTAGTTTTACTTAGCTCTCTTTTGTTCTAGGTGGTTGTTCTTGTCACCATGATTTTGGTTAGGTTGTTGGAAGTGTTGTACAAATTCTTGTAAAGGAATCTTTAGATTTAGAACTTATTTTTATGAAATAATAAATGATTAATTTCATTAACTTAAAAAATCTATTATGGCCCTTGTGTAAATTTAAACTTATTTTTTTCAAAAATAATTTTATTTATTAACGAAATTCGAACTTAGGATCAACAAAATTATAAGCCCAATGATTTAACCACTGCTCTTTACCTATTTTTATGTTTCTTAATGATAACAACTGATATATATACTCTATTTTGAGATCCCTATTTTTTTGAGGCCATGCGCCATCCCGCACTTAGCACATGCACAGCCACGCCCCTCATTCTTGTCACAATTTCGTTAGGCACGCCCACAGGTTTTGCAGACAGACTTAGCAGGGGCTTTTAAAAGGTATAACAGACACATACACACACTACTAACTCTTGGAGAATGCAGATGCCATCATATATACCATTTTCTTCTTCTCAACATCACAAACATTATGACTGCAAGTTGCATATTAGGTTGGAATGGTAGATAGAAAAGACCAAAATACAAGATGTGAGAATCAAATCCCGTGCTGGTATAGTAGCAAAGGAACAAAACATATAACTTGGTCTATACTTCCACGAGACTGAAGAAATTAATTAGTTCATCCTTTATATCATATATGCTTATGAACCTTGTGACAAGCTTTCTATAGAAGCTAATATGTTGCTAGCACACATCTCTCCACTTTCTTAATCTGTAAACAATTCTAGAGAGATTATACATATGCATGTATGTTAATATCTTGTAAAGATTTTCTCTAAACAATTTTAGAGAGAGTACACATCATACATGTATGTTAATATGTTGCTAGCACACATCTCTCTACTTTCTTAATCTGTGGATTTTTTATCCATTCGAATCTAATTCGAGTATTATACTTATCTAATCGTCACTTAAATCAGGTTTAAGGAGATTAGGCTCGATCTAATTTTTAGAATAAAAATTTACATCTCACTTTTTATAAATATATATATAAAAATATCATCTTTATGCGATAAAATAAAAATCTAATTAAAGGACATAAAAAATATTATTACAATTATCTTTACACAGGTAAGGAGGTAAGGAACAAGTATACTAATGTCTTTATTATTAATAATTCATATATTATATTTTAATAAATTAATATTTATCAATAAAATGATGACAAATAAATAAATATTTAAATTAAATTGATTACCGCCTCAATTCATTTATTATCGTTGTTCACCACACTGACAAGCCACTCCCGAAATTCCAGTGCAATCGACCTCACTCATCTTCTATTTTGTTTTCACATACACGGATACCTACGAGTACTTGGGAGAACACAGGCACTCTTCTTCATTATTCACATGTTTACGTGTTCATGTTAGATTGGGCCCCCGTCCTGAGACTGAAAATAAAAAACAACCATAGAAGTAAAAGAATAGTATCTAGAATCTATGGTGGTAGCTCAATTGGCAATCCAACAGACGCAGCCCTCAATGATTGGCGTTACTCGCAGAGCTGCTGCGGCTGTTTTCAATGCTGCCGAGCCGATGAACCAAACACACAACGGGGGACAGTCTTAACGATATCTAAAAGGTATCTCTCTTCTCACTTCGAAATGTATGGCATCTAAAATGTTAAAGCTCCGATTAACGCTCTCGAATATCATAGTGTGCTTATTGCTCATGTAATATAATAGCTTCCCTTTCATAAATGATGATATCATCCTCTTTATCATGACAAAGCATTAACGGTGACAGTGAAAAGGGGGTGGCAGGCAGCCGATCCCATAAAACAACCGCAGTTATTAAGTACGATTGTCGAACTAAAAGCTGACAATAATGGATCATGAAGGTCGCGTATGTTACATCTCTGAAACGCCAGACATAATGAGTTACAACTACATTCTTTCGGCAGTCATTGGCTTAAGGATAAAACCCACCAGGTAAATAGACCAAAACACCTTTGGGATGCAATGGGGCGAATTGCGATTAAGACACCCAATTTAGTATTTGTACAAAGAACCAAGATCTTAAGTATGTTACAAAAGTAGAACGGATTTAACTACAATCTTGGGGTGCTTTCCTTATGCTTCATTAGCTAGCTTTTATGGCTCGTACTGAACTCGGAATTGGTTGGCTAGACCTTTTTAAGTTAAGGTTATGACTTTAAAACAACCTTTTGAACTCAGTCTGGTTGCTCGCAGATTATATGTACCACTTTCTCCCTTACATTTATCACCTATGCACAAGATATACTCCTTCCACCTGCACTTTGATTCATCAATACCACGATTTATATTCGATCCGATGCTAAAAAACCTCTACATGGCTGCCAAAATCGTGAACGCTAGTTATAAGCATATAGTTCTCTGAATACAACAGTGTGGAAATGTAAAAGCAAAAGGTAGTGTTGAGAGGGAAAACATTGCAGGGTTGAGGTAAAGGAAATAACCTTTATTTTGATCAGCACTTGTCTGGCTCCGGGTTCATGTGTAAGCCATGTTCTTGATAATATAAAGCAGTTTTAGTCTCGAGCCATAGTTTCCTATAAAATAAGGCTTCTGGTGGCATTTCATGCTCTGTCGAATGAAATACTTTGGGGCCCTTCCAGGTGACCTGAATCTTGTATGGAGAATAGAAAAGTTCAACACCTTTCCAATTAATTGCAATGAATTCAGTAATAAATTATCAGGCTCATTGATCTTCTTGTAACTTTAACGTCATTACTTCGATAAAAGAACATAGCATCCTACTACTTAACATAAGAGCGGATGTCTCATGCATTTTCTGTTGACGTATACAACTTTCATCATTACCTAGTTAAAGCCCATAGGATGAAAATGTTTATATGTCCTGTAATAGCAAACAACTAATGCATATAGAGGCAGCAAGGGGATCTATTCCACACGCTAAACAGATGCGATAAGGTTGGAATTATTATAACAGAAACATAAAAACAATACATATAAGACCGAGAACTTGAAAAAGATATTAAGTACCATACCTTATGGTTATCAGCTGCTTGCCTATTACCATGTAAAGTGCACATATGACATGGTCCGGACCTTACAGCTCTTTCACCAGCCTGATTTCCGATGACAACATAAAGTTTATTGATTATATTCAGAACTTATCATATTCATGCTCACTCGTTGAACCTAAAGCAAATGAATAATTCTGCAGAAGCAACTCCGACAAATATTGGATTGTATTACTCGGTAAGTTAGTATCAAGTTTGGGAGGTGTAGACTTGAGTGGCTCTTGAAATCTTTCAGTTAAATCTGAAGAAACACCAACTCCAGTGGAATGTAAATTCAGGGCAATTTCTGTTGTAGGGAATAAGATGCTAGAATTTTTCCCAGTACGTGCAATGTCCATAACACTGTCCAACGCATTACATGTTGCATTGGCAATACCCTATATGCCACCAGCAAAATTTTCAAGCTGACTTTCAGGGGTAACATACTCTTCCCCAAGATATGACTCGAGACAGCAAGAATTGACCGCTGAATTTCTAAATGACTCGTAAGGAGTGCCATACTCCTCTCTTGAGACACAGACATCAGAAGACCAAAGTATTCCCATATCATTGATTTCTTCTGAAGGAAATGTGCCATCTTTATCGGAACACCTTGATCCATCTTCTCTTGACGAAGAAATAACAGCTAAAGCCCCAATATTCTCATTATAGGAAATGTCGTCTCCATGGCATTCCTTCTGATGGCAATCGACTTTTTGTTTAGAATTTCCAGGAATAAACACAGGTGCCAGAGGATCCAAACTGTTTCAAGTCACTTTTTTGCTCTTAGAATGTTCTAATTTCAGAGACATTGACATTCTGGATGAAGACTGACCATTACAATCTTCCGAATTGACAGTGACTGAATCTCTAAGTGGAGATTTATAAGCATGGGTTCCTTTCCAGCGAGGTGAATCTACATCAGAATCATCACTTTTGGTAGACCATTTATTATCAGGAATACCTGCTTTCACACCATGTTGTTCTGCACTCAAGTCTCCATGATCATTGGGACAAGCAATTTGAAGCTTGGATTTTTCCATTATGTAAGGATTTTTAGTCTCATTGTGGGCAAGTTCAACAAGATCTCTCTTTTCACCTTTTTTTGTTAGGATTAGGTCTCGGCAAGCCACCTTGTCAAGAGGACTCTGCGCTATATCACTACCAATCATGCCAGGTACAACATTCCCAAAATAGGAATCCATGTTGCTGACTGTATAAGTGCCACCATAAGGCACATTCCCTAATGGAACAGGATTAACAATTGTAGCATTGTAACTAGCACCTGATGGTTTGAAAGTTTGAGCCGAACAAGATATATACTCTGGCTCAGATGAAACCAGAGTTTCAGGTGCACAAGAAGCACGATGTGGAAAGCAAATCTCTTTGTTAATAATAGATGAATCACAATGACTCAAAGTTGGTCATGGCGCTGAGTATGATAGTTGACTTTGGTTATCTTGAGGTCTTGGAGAAAAGGACAAATCTGATGATATCTGAAATGATTTTGTCATACATTTGTTCGACAAATTTACTTCAGAATTAGCCAGTCAAAAAACACTGATTCCATCATGTAATTTATCCTTGTCTACTGGTCTAATTCGATTATCTTTTTCCGACGACCACACAGCCTTTTTCATGCAAAACAGAAGGTGTTTTACTAACAAGTTTTGATCCTTCAATAGAAGTACCTGGACAAAACCATTAACAGTTTCAGTCCTAATTGCATGGTCGCCAGCAGAAGCATAAATTGATTGAAATATGCTTTCTTTTCTAAGTCAACTTTGCACCTACAAGTAACCTTCATTCCATCCAAGAAGAACAAAACCCCGGGATTCATAATTCATATAAACATTTATCCCTTTAGAGGACCAACTCTTAAAGTTACTAAATTTGTCACTAATAGCAAATGAATTAGTTAGGTACAAAAACGAAAATCTGTAAGAAATCAAAACTACCTTGTTTAAGC